CGTGAGGATACACGGTTTATGCTCGATTGCGTTCTTGCTCTTCAGAGATGGAGGAAGTATTGCTGTCCTTCACTTAAGTGAAACTACTGATGCCTTTGAGTCAGGCTTTGAAAACATTACCTAAGTAAGAGTATTTCATTTGGTCGCACCTCCCACCTGGTCACAGGAAAAACACATCACCTGTTGAACGTCTGCTGGTCGAGGCGCTACGACTTGCCAACGTCTCCCACAAACGCCCCACGGCAGCTGTGGTAGCTGCTGCTGGTATCTGTGGTGTGTTCACACGCAGGTTTTACCAAAACTCACTTTAAAAAGAGCAAACTAGGGCATTCTAATGTCAGAGTTTTCCAAAATGAAACCCAGAGATTTTAATTTTTTTTTACATGCACCCTTTTCTCAGAGCAGAAGATGTGTGTGCTCCATCTTCACCAGTAGACCTCGTTTTTAAGCGTAAATCGCGCCGTACACCAAAGCTACAAGAGCACTGCCTCCCACCACTGTGGTCAACACAACAGCATCCTGCGTCAGCGACACCAACACAGCTTCATGATCATCATGCACTCGCACTGATGCGACCGCTTTGAATTTGAACTCACACATTCTCAATAAAAGGTCACACATGCAACCGTTGTGGTCGTAGTCTGGAGCCCTGCATGGTAGCACTAAATGCAGGTACAGCTGATGGTTCTGAAACTAGAGTAAATTATCTTTGATTTGCGGAGCCATTAGGCTTCTGGGAAACTAGAATGCCTTTTGTTCTTAGATGTTGAGGTACTTTACATGATAAAGGAAAACTTGACCAGTTGGTGCTGCTGGATGAAGATTTACAGAATCACAAACGGCATTAAGGTTCATCCCCTGGGCACCATGATTCTTCAACATCTGAACTGCTGCCAAACCCTCTGGAATAAGGAGGTCAGCAGGCCGACACTGCCTTCACACCGGCTAGTCATGTTGATATAAGATGAATAAACTTCTTTATTCAGTTTCTTGCACTTCTTTCTGCAACATGTCAAAGATCAGGCGACATATTTACATGCTCTCTATGTGCTTGAACTTTGTTTTACTGATTGACTACATGTGTCTCCATATGGATGAACCCACAGCGGGTATCAGGCTGGGACGTCCTAAACCCACTGGGCCCAATGGCAGACGATACCATCCTCTGGCTCTGACTTAACATATCTTTAACCTGACCAAAGATATCTTTAAATTGCCTTCAGCCCACTCTCATGTAAGCAGAGTGCAGACAGGCTGTGCTGGCTGTAGCATCTAAACGCCACTTATCCTCCACCACCAGGTTTACTAGCAGATAAACCAGAACAGTCCGCTGCTCTCTGACCGAGCGCATCTTGAAAACATCCTTGTGTAATAATGCAACCCAGCAGAAAGCAGACATTGTGTGGCGTTGGCCTGGTCTCTGCTGCACATGGTGTCTGTTTCTAGTCTCCCCCTGTCTGACTGCAGGACCTCGGCCCGTCTGACTGCAGGACCTCGGCCCGTCTGACTCCTCCTCAAACTGCTTCATGTACATCCAACTGCTGTATGTTTGACAGATCATCAGCATTATGATCTCAGGAAGTTCCCTAAACCCAAACTACAAACACATTGGAGCTTTCTTCCATTCATTTTCTCTAAATTACTAGATGGTGAAGTTACACAAAAAAATACCAATTTCAGGACAGTTGAGCAGATTAAAAAAAACAAAAAACAGAAAACTAAAAGAGCATAAATCATCCAGTACAGAACCGGGAAATGAGGGTTCTTCACAGTGATCGTGCTTCTGGGCACTCGGAGGGAGAACCTATATGAGACGTTTGTAAGCCCTGCTCTTCCCTTCATTCCTACAATTAGGTTGGTTTGTTTACTACAAACACCTCAGTAAACGCTACCAGATGCTGCACAAGCCTGTGGGTGTGACACGCTGCACACAGTTCTTGTGGATCCGTGTGTGTTAAATTTCTTGTTGAGATGACCATTTGTTTTCATCACGGAGTCGTTTTAATGACGAGATAATTCACACCAGATCCGAGCCATCCTTGCAAAAATGATGAAGAGGCACAAAACCTTCCAAAGCAGTGCTGGGGGCCTCACACAGAGTTCACTAACAACCATGTGACCATTAAAGTCCTGCATTTTCATCCTATGTGAGCAGACGTAAGGTCAACACAGCAGCCCTCCACACGCTGCTGCTACAGCATCCAGACAGGACTGGAGGTTGTTTCATAGCTCAGAGGGATGTTTTTGATGGAGCCGGAGTCTTGAGCGTATAGAACAGGATGCATTTGCCTGCAGCTCTGTATACCGGAGCCCCTGCACAGGCCACCTCGGAGCCGGTCCCTCATACAGTAGGTGGGATTCTCCCTTTGCTCGACCAGTAGATGTTTGCTTTCCATTGTGGGACACCATGGTTTAAATTTGGTCTGTCAGACGTATGCCAAATAGAGGAGCTTCTGTCACAACAAGAGCAAAGATGTAGCCATGCGGTTCTGCGAGCGTTTCGATGAATCCCTCAAAGCAAACGGATCCCCCATCACTGGGCTCTTTGTGGTTCCTTTCCTTCCTCGCCCACCCTCGATACATCACATAGCTTTCTATTTCTAGATCATGAAAAGCAGTCTGATGGTGCATTTTGTTTGTATTTCTTTTTGTGTTCTTTATTTTCTGGACCAAGCCACCGGAGATGTGATGTCAGAGAACCAACAGCTCCAGCAGCAGAGAAACTCAACATGAAACAGTGTCTCATGGTGAGTTCTGTGGTCGGTTCATGGATGTGAGAGGCTTTTAGATTCCAATAAAGTTGGGAAAAAGTCTTTTGAGATGGTTAGATGAGGTAACTATGATGCTTTAATCCCTGTCATGACTTTTCCAGGAGCTCTGAACACCAACTACTCGTAGATTGCTCATATTCATGCCCATACATCTGTCTCATAGCTTTTCTCTCTCCACCTAATGTCCTTCAGCAGCCTCAGTGATACTAAATAGCCCAATATACTACTATACAGCCCAAAGCTCAACCGTAACTCGGCGCTTCAAGACGCATTCTGGAGAAAATCACATTGTTTTTTAAAATGTTTTTATTTTATTTAGTGATGCAAACAAACAATGACCAGAGGGACAGTGTGCAAACAGCTACATACGTAAGGAGACCAAAACCAAAACCAAAACAAAAGTAAGAACTAAAACAAACCAAGACAACAAAGAATCAGTCAAAACCAGAGAAACTTATTTAACTTTGGTATTTGAAGTTTGAACATCACATTGTTGACCTTGTTAACGTGTCCGCTCTGAACCTGCTGACAGCCTCCACAACACAGACGTTAACTTACAGGGTTTACACATAACAAACCGAAGGAACCCAACAATGTCTTGTCCAGATGAGCTGGTGTGCTCAAGGTGCAGCCATGGGGAATCGGTCTGTGAAACAGAGCGAGGTGGAGACTTCATAGCACATTCTACATGAAGCTACGGTGGTATCGAAGCTATTTTAAGGCATCCTTATGGAAAAACTAAACGTCTGACTATCTGAGTTTGATGCACAAAGATGAGTTTGAAGGGGTTCAGTCAATGACTGGAGAGGGACTTTAACCTGGCAGAAACCTGACCATGTGCCAGGAAAACCAATGGCATTAGAAACACATGACTGCTATGTAGAGATCCACACCTCTATAATCCATCATGAACAGAGCTGTACCTGAAGTAGATGTCGCTGGATTTGGACTTGGAGTTGCTTTGATTTGTACATAGATGGTGCCCAGTTACATCATCCATCCATCATCTCTACACCTTCATCCTCACCAGGGTCATGGGGGGCGGAGCCTATCCCAGCTGACTCAGGGTGAAGGCAGGTTCACCTGGACAGGTAACCAGTCTATCACAGGGCTACACTTAGAGACAGACAACCAAGCACACTCACATTCACACCTACGGACAATTTACAATCACCAATTAACCTCAGCATGTTTCTGGACTGTGGGAGGAAGCCGGAGAACCCGGTGAACCTCTGTGGCTCGGTGTGGATGTGGGTTCATCTTCCTGGGGAGAGATCTTAGGACTGAGCTGTAAGCAGGTGAGAGGTGATGCCTCAGACCTCCACCTCTGCTGAGGGATGCTCTTTCCAGCTGGACATAGATGGCCTCTTTCACCTCTCTCTGAAACCATCTGTCCTCCCTGCAGGTCAAAATCAGATGAAGATGAACCCACATCCACACCGAGCCACAGAGACCCTAACGAACCCCACTGTGGCAGGGGGAGCACTAACGACCCACATGATGAGGGGGAGGAGCAACAAACCCCCAATTAAAACCCAAACTCAGGTGTTAACGTCTCCTTCAGGATATCAGGATGTGGAACTCCCAGCTAGTCAGTCAGAGCTGATGGAGCCTCCTGGATGAAGGTGGAACAGCTTCAACAAACTTTTTGTTTTGTTTGTTTTTTTATGTCTATATTTCTTTTAGATTGCATATTGTTGTTTTTACAAAGTTTTTAGATTCTTGTTTTTTGCACTTGTTGCGTTGTACTCGTTACAATAACAATAAAACGAATCTGAATCTGAATCTGAATCGTTAGAAAGCTCTTTCAGGCGATTGCAAATGGTCTTTTTTCCACTTAGTTTGGCCACTTGTTGGGTTTTTCTTGACCTGCCTAACATTCAAAGGTGACTGTGCAGGAGGGACCAGAGATGTGACTTTCAGAATCAGGAATGCCAACGACCACGGCATCACGATGTTGTGAGTAGGTGGAAATAAAACCACAAGGAACTGCTGGGCCTCTGTCATGCACACTCAGAAAATGCAGAAATCTTACCACACAGAGGATTAGAGATTCAAACTAAGGTAATATTTTCCAAAAAATTCGTTTTGATCACCAAGATCTTCTTTGGGTGTTTGATGTTTACTTTCTGTGTGGGATGGTTGGAGCTCTGATTGGTTTCTTGGTCACCTGTAGCAGGTTGTCGTTGCTCTAAGTCTGACCAGCAGAAATCAGCAAATCCTCACAAGTTAGAAGATGTACCATGTTTTATTCGACAATGATCCTACAGAACAATTAATAAATTAATCATTTAATCAATGATTTGTTGCCTTTTCTGGCCCTCAGTGGTCTGATCCCTTCGCTGTGCACAAGGCTCCAGTCTCCCTGTGGAGGTAATGAACCAACATTACTGTGCTTCACTTGGAAATTAAACGTATTGCATTAAACCTAAATGACACATTCAGTTTGTTGACACAAACCAGAAAACGCTGTATTCTTCAGCGTTTCGTGGCTTTAACGCTCCGTCTCATTCCACAGCCTCAACGGTTGGTTTACGACAAACACCTCGCTAAGTGTTCGCAGATGGTGCAGAGCTGGCAGACAGGACTGTCCTCACCCAAATTCCTCTCAGAACCTGAGAAACTTCACATGAGAGGGTTTTTCTTTAACTTCACTTGGACAGCAGCAGCAGCAGCAGACTTGGAGGAAATACTTCCAACATATGATGCAGAGGGTTAATTTGTCAGGAATACAGTATGTCTATAGAGAGCCTCTGTCTCCCTGCTTCACTCCACCCCTCCGTCTTTCTCTTTTTCTTTCTTTCTCTCCCTTCCTGTCTCTCTCTTAACAAGTTACTGAAACAAAAAAATGTGTTTCCAATTAGGCGCTGAGGGAGAAAGAACAACTCTCCACAACGAGCTCTTCAAGAAATCTCTTTGCTTGGAGGACTTTTGCATGCTATCTTTTCCCCTCCATAAGATGAGTGAAAAAAGTGTGTCAGCTGGTGGAAATAAAAGCACTTGTTGCCCATAAAGTGTCACCTGTCTTCACTGATAAGACACTCGAGGACAAACTGCACTTTTCATGCGTTAAGCTGTTTTTACGCACATTTTTTTTAAACCAGCAAAATGAACACATCTGATTAAAATGTAGCATCTTTGTGCAGTGTGTGTGTGTGTGTGTGTGTGTGTGTGTGTGTGCACGCTTGTGTGACGTCATGCGCAGACAAAGGTCCCGTCCTGTGCGGGGTGTGTGGCAGTCGGTCGGTCAGAGAGGAGCGAGAGCCGCGCCAGCGCAGAGAGGCACGGAGACGGAGCAGGACGCACCGAGGTTCTGCATCTGGGGGGAATTAAAGCAACTTTCTGATAAAAAACAACAACAACAAACAACAACAGACAGCGATCTGGTGGGAAAACAGTTGGCAGCGGTGTTGCTTTTCTGCACGGACACACAATGAAAGGGTTACCTGGCTGCAGGCTGGATTTGGAGTCTTCTGTTGCGCCGCTGCGACTTTGACACGAGAGTTGCGCAGAGCAGCACGGTCTCTATGAGTTGTCTCTTGGAGGAATTTCAGGCAGTCAAACTTGAGTTGGACATCCAGGGAACCAGTCAGGGAGTAAACTAAACCACCAAACCCACTGGAAAGCAAGACACTGTAAGTATTTCATTCCTTACGCTCCTATTGCGTGATTCTTATGAGCTCTTAGTGATCCATAGGAAAGTCTGTTTTCTTCTTGTGCATGCCTGATGTTGGTATCTTTACATAATCAAACTATACCTGCCACGTAGACGTGGCGAGCGAGAGAGCATTGGGTTCAGATCAAACGCTGTGATGGCATTAGCAGATGCTGGAGCTCCTGTGCGCACCGTTACTTCAGCGGCTTGTGCGCCTCCAGGGTGAGAACCGGGACGCGGCTGGAATGAACGACTTGTTGCGCCAGAACTGAGCTTTTTTATCCAACTCTGGGACTGGAACAGGACTTGTAGAAGGGAGTGAGCGGAAAAAAACACACACAAGCAGGCGTTGGGTCTGGGAGTTACAGAAGAGAAACCGTTGACATCTGTCTTGATTTTCCACGCTGATCTGCTTTGAGAGAATGTGTTTGGAATTTTCTCTTCGATTTCTTCATTGAACCTCCTCCCAGAGCGTTGTAAAAACAACCCATCCATCATCCAGCATCACTGATCCAAGAGGAAACGCTTGTGTTGTCAGTCTCAGTAATTGCTAAAACACGATGACCAGAGCAGCAACATGTTGATGGTCCTTCAGACATTTCTTGTGGTGTTGGCATCTTCCCAAAGTATACGCCTTGATGCTGTCGCCTACTGGCAGGACTCAATCCACTGTGCTGCGTTTTGGACTCAAGCCCTGAAATTCAGCATTTTCATGAACTTCTGGCTGCAGTCTGCTAAAGCTGTGACCCTGGAAAAGTTGTGTAACAAGATAAAGAGCTGTAGATGTGTGAATGTCAGACTTTCAGGCGAAGCTAACCGGCCTCACTTACACCGAGGACGGAGGAAAACGCCTCAGAGTCAGATCTGGTAGTGGTGCCTGAGATTCTCTCTTAGTTTCTTCAAACAGACATCAAAGAGAGATGATAAAGGAGCGACAAGAATTAGCATCATGTAAGCCAGGGGTGTCGACATCCGGTCCTGGAGGGCCACAATCCTGCATGTTTTAGATGTGTCCTTCTTCCAACACACCTGATTCAAATGATCAGGATCGTTATCAGACTTCTGCAGAGCTTGATGATGAGCTGATCATTTGAATCAGGTGTGTTGGAAGAAGGAAACATCTAAAACATGCAGGACTGTGGCCCTTGAGGACCGCAGTTCGACACCCCTGATCTAAGCGTCATGCATTCTAACAAACATGTTGTCAGCAGAGCTTCTCATCCCGCTCGCTGCACAAATGCTCTCTGCTGCTTGGTTTCGGTGTCTGATGTCTCACTGTGAGGTGTGCAGCCCCCAGGACAAATATTTGTCTGAAGTAAGCAGAAAAACAGACAAAGTGGCCGGATTAACTTAAAGTTTGCAAGTTTGGTGACGTTGCTGCGTTTGCTTTTCACCTAAATTTCCACAGAACACAACAAAGCTGCTTTCTGCGTCAAAGCCCTTCTTAAGCGATTGTACAGCTCCACCATATGCTCCCTACATGCTGCCTTTGGCCTTTTGATGTTGCCTAATTAACACTCATGTGGGCTCTCAAATGGTGTGAGTTTATCAGTGTATTCACCTGTTTGCCTCCCACCCACTGCCACAGACCTCAGGGGGTCTTTGATGCTATAGGAGGGACGCGTGAGGGCCGCTTACGCTCCTGCAAATAGATGAGGTCAGTCGCTTTTCAGCTGTTTTTTGTAAATCGGGGACATTTGATGACTGCTGGCTGCAGTAAAGTTACTTGTCCAGAGGTTGAAGCATGCAAGCTTGTGGAAAATTCCAATGTTGAGCCCCATTTTCATCAAATATAAGAAACCTTTCACCTGAGCCTCAGTGTGCTTCTTAATCGAATCGTTCTCATCACGCTTGTCAAAAACACATTCACACACGTGTGAGACAAGACACTGATATGTTCAGTGATGACGGTAATAATCTTGTCAGAATGACAGGATTTGACTTTGATGCTAACTTGGCTTTATTAAAATGCTTTTCTTTTTTAACCCTTCGCCTGGTAGCAGCTAAAACTCGCTGTGTTTTGTCTGCGACTATCTCAAATGCGTATTATGCAGCATTTTACGTATCCGGAGCTACAGCGGAGGCTCGTAGAGTGAGGACATCAGGGATAAGAGCGATGATAGGACAGAACAAGAACAAACTGTAAGTGAAAGTGCATACGAAGCAGGAGATAGCGGTGTCACCAGATTACACCGGAGCTTCTTTCTTGAACTAGTTTAGGTGCACAAGGACCTGTTTTTTAAAAAAACGTTGTTGTTGCTCCTCCAAACACTCATGTGTCTCAACACAACCTTGAGCCAGTGTAAAGCCGTGCTATGGCCACACAAGCACTTCTACTATGGGATGGGATAGTTGTAGGAGCTGTGTGGTTTCCACAGTAACCAGGGAAGCAGCACAGCCAGTCAGTGTCTCAGGTTCTCATAGATTTAAAGCTGTTCCCCAACCTGTGAGCGGCTGGAAGTGAAACAATATTCGAAGAAAGAAGAGTCTGATTTCTGACCATCTTCATTAAAGCAAATAAACACTCCCACTGAAAAGACTTAGTGTCTCCCCCGAAGACGACTGTTTTATGTTTCCCTGCATGAGCTCTGACATCCGTCAAAGAAGGGGTCCTTGAAACATCTGTGTTGTGATTACTGAAAGCACGATCTCTCCTCCCCCCGTCTACGGCCTGCATTCTTCCCATTCTTACGCCAAAAGTCCAGATTGCTTCCACATTCATGCAGGTAACAGAGTCGCTTCTTGTGAAGCTATCGTTGAAGAAATTAGGTTTCCTTTAAGGGGCACGAAGACACAGAAAAGCACGAACTCCACCTGTTCAAATAGCATCAAAATATATGCAAGACTCAGCAAACACTTGTACACTTGTGCTCCATGTGTACAGTTTATAAGTTTATAGAACTTCTCAGTAGAACATCTGTTGAACCTGCATCATTTCAGTGGAAACTATGAATAAAGTGCACAGTTGTTTCTGTCGTTTCCTCTGCCAGCTGAGGTGTGAGATGTGGTTAGACCACTTCTCTTTGCAGATCATGCTAAATTGATCACGCCGGCTGGATTAGAGAGCATGACGCTCCTTAACCTCAGTGCCGTCACACATTTGGTATCAGCAGAATCCATTTGATCGCTATCAGCACAGATAAGTGCAGTCAGCCTCAGTCACAAACACATTGATAACTTACATGAAAAAAGACGCCATCGACTCGAGCTGCTAGCGTCTCCCTGTGAGATAAAGTAGCTGTGGGTGGTCGGCAACAACCGCCGTGAGGTTTTCCTAAATTTTATTTTGTCACGGAGAGTTCAGATGCGACGGCCCACACTTGCAGAATTGTTTTATGATCTTAATGGTGGCAATAACTCACGATAAATTACTGTTGTCTGCTGTGGCTCTGGGAGCTCGAGGCACTGAAAAAAAGCAAGCGTACAGATAAAACAAGCAAACTGAGACCATATCTTCAGCAGTGAGGCAACATGTGCAGCATCAAGAAGAACCAAATACAGACACAGTGGACAAAAAATACAACCAAAGAATGAAACGCTGCAGACATCTGGAGTACAGTCTGAGTCATGGAGGCAGAATGTGTAAACAACACTTTAACATTGAGCTTATTTTCAAATTCGCTGACTTCAGTAACTTCATGAGTCACCAGATCAGCAGCAGGAGTCCCAGCTGTCCTCACACAGTGTCTTCTGAATACTATCTAGTTCTCCTGCAAAGGAAACTTCATGTATTTGGCAGCATGTCTGTGTTTGCATAGATTACTTCCATGATCTTTGCTTACGACTAATCAGCAGGCGTTCCATATACAAGCTGTGCACAAGGAGATATCATTTTAGCAACCGTCACCTTCTTGCTCATCTTTTTGAAATGAAGTTTTACTTTGGTCACCATAGGATGGCATGTTGGACCCTGTAGGAATCATCACATATCATTCCAGGTTGCTTCACTTCATTAATGATTAAAGGACATGCAGAGAAGTTGTTGATGAGCTGGCAGTCAGAAAGCCCATTTATCTCTGGATGCTCGGCGAGATCCACGTCTCACATCTGTGCAGTTTATTAAACACGTCCAGATGGCTCGAAGAAATGCAGACAGACGCTGGGAAAAAAAACAGAAAGATTATAAGAAAGAAATGCACGAGGGAAACAGGAAGTGAGAGGGCGAGCAGATGTACGCAGGTTTACAGCCATTCACAAATCTGTTTTAAGGTCTCTGTTGAGGGTCATGAGCTCTGCAGGCTGCTGCTCACAGCTATCAGTGTGTACATAGTGGGAGTTGACATTGCACTCCACTGCTGTAAATAGTGCTGACAGGTCCACAAACAGCACACCGGCTTTCCATTCTGAAGGACTGCATGAATGAAATGCATAATCTGGACTGTTGTAGTGCATCTAAAATGGACTAGCCAGTTCACAAAGGTGTCTTTGAAATGTTGGTGACGTATACAGAGTCTTGACTGCATTCCCAGAAACAGAACAATGAGACCAACTATGTCCTGTACCGGCTCGTCACCGCGTATTGAGAAGCAGATAAAGAACATCCAGAGGGTAAAAGAATATTGGTCACAGAGGCCAAAAGTTCCAATCAGAAGCTGGTCACACGGGCCACGAGCTGGGCGTCGCATTCAGAGCGACCTTAATGTTTACGGTGTCCAGAGCACATGCTGCAATGATGCAACATCGGAGGCTGATGCTGGCAGACAGTGAAGCTCATCAGCTGACGGCAAGTATGTGCAGCGGTTTTACTCTGCGAAACGTTTGAACCATAAATCCTGCACTCACCCATCATTTCCCAGCTGTCCTCCCATCAGCTTCCCTCCTCCCACCTCACCAGTCTTCAGGTCTTAATAGTGTGTGTGTGTGTGTGTGTGTGTGTGTGTGTGTGTGTGTGTGTGTGTGTGCAGTTTGGTCTCTTTGGCCTAAAATCATTCAAAGTGTAGTCTCAAGTCAGTCANGAAACGTTTGAACCATAAATCCTGCACTCACCCATCATTTCCCAGCTGTCCTCCCATCAGCTTCCCTCCTCCCACCTCACCAGTCTTCAGGTCTTGTGTGTGTGTGTGTGTGTGTGTGTGTGTGTGTGTGTGTGTGTGTGTGTGTGTGTGCACGCCGGGGGATGTGGGTTAAAATCATTCAAAGTGTAGTCTCAAGTCAGTCATGTGAAAAACAGTAAGAGGAACCAAATTTTGCAAGAATGAGGAAATATTCTTCCAAGCAGCAGTCGTCCTGACGTGTACATCTGAGTGTTGTGTTTGATCCGCTTTATGCATCAGCAGTTTTTAGTAGAAAGTGAAACGATAACAACGAGACAACCTAGCTACACCAACAGCTGATGGTGGGCTCTTTATGCTTTTGTTTGTTTGCTGATCAGTGACTGTTCGGTGCCTCGTAAGCATTTTCCTGCTGCAGAAACTTTGCAGGTTATTTCAGTGCAACCTGCACCTCTTACTGTGTTCCAACGGCCAGAGCCACCACCAGGACGTCTTCAGGAGACGTTTTCAAGACAGAAATGAAGTCTCTTCTCTGGGATCCCTCGATGCTGACCGGCTAAACTCGGGGAAGACGAGAACACGATGCAGCATTTT